TATATAAGAGACATAGTGAAACAACTGTAGCCTTGCCCTAAAATATATTGTATCATATATAAGAAACATAGTGAAACTACTGTAGCCTTGCCCTGAAATAAATTTTCTCACATTTCAGAAACATTAGAAATGAAACAATTAAGCCATCAATATTATATATAAATACATGTATATGACAATTTCAATCTGTGTCAGTTCAATATAATACATACTGTAACACAAATAATTAAATACATTGAACAATGAGATTCATTACCAATACACATCCTTGGTCCAAATCCAAATGGAATTGATGAGAATCCATCTGGTAAGTTATTATTGGGACTTCGCAACCATCGTTCCGGTCTGAAACTTTTTGGATCATCAAATAATTTAGGATCTCTTCCCATTACATAATACATTGTCCCAATGACAGTCTGAAATTTAGATACAAAGTAATAGATGAGGGCGGACCATTATTTCTCCCTAAAGTTTTATGTCTTATTTTTGTCTGTGAAATATTTTTTATTTTATACAACTCCCTTAGAGTGTAAACTGTGTTCAGACTCTGCATCCATTTTGATGATTTTTCTCAATTGTATTTTCAGCATATTTCATACTCACATGTTTTGGTATATGGAACCCACTCAATACAATATCTTTTTCTAAAACTCTTGCAGAAGCTGTCAAAACTGGATATTTCCTGTTTGCAAAAAGAAATAGGCCAATTGCCTGTCACTCAATGGTTTTGGATCCATGGTACATCATGGCCATTTCACAATGTAATCTCTTCCTCACAATTAATTAAATTCAAATTTAGTATATTAGTCTTATTGTTGACTCGCTGTTAACATAACTCTGTACTATGGTATTGGTGATATATGAATTGGGTGCCATAGGATGGTACTTGATGGCCAACCAACCTAATCAAATATGTATTTTGCATTGTACGAGTGCAAAATAAGTTATTAGGAAATTAGGATATTAGTACCAGCTGTTTTATACGCATGCGCATTGGCCGATCCTGTCAAATCTCGTCATCTGTTTTGGGGCGTGTCTGGTCGATGTGAAATTGCTTCAGCCATTGTGTAACGGAAATAACTGGTGTCTGT